AGTCTTGCTCTGTCGCCCAGGCTGGACTGCAGTGGCGTGATCTTGGCTCACTGCAAGCTCCGCCTCCTGTGTTCACGCCATTCTCCTGCCTCAGCCTCCCTAGTAGCTGGGACTACAGGCGCCCGCCACCACACCCAGCTAATTTTTTGTATTTTTAGTAGAGACAGAGTTTCACCTTGTTATCCAGGATGGTCTCGATTTCCTGACCTCATGATCCGCCTGCCTTGGCCTCCCTAAGTGCTGGGATCACAGGCGTGAGCCACCGCACCCAGCCAGAAAAACGCAGTATTAAGAGCACAGACTCGGCTGGTTGCAGTGGCTCACACCTGTTATCCCAGCACTTTGGGAGGCCGAGGCAGGCGGATCACTTGAGGCCAAGAGTTCAAGACCAGCCTGGTTTCACATGGTGAAACCCTGCCTCTACAAAAAATACAAAACTTAGCCAGGCGTAGTGGTGCACACCTGTAGTCCCAGCTACTTGGGAGGTTGAGGTGGGAGAATCACTTAAGCCCAGGAGGTTGAGGCTGCAGTGAGCTAAGATTGCACCACTTCACAACAGCTTGGGTGACAGAATGAGACACTGTCTCACAAAAAAAAGCACAGACTCTGGAACTAGACAACTTTGGTTCAAATCCTGGCTGTCTGACTTAATAATGTAATCTTGAGCAAATCATTGAACCCTCCGTGCCTCAGTTTATTCACCTATAAAGTGGGCGTTAATAATTAGAGCACCTACCTCTCAGGGTTATGATCAACCTCCCTCACTGAGTCCATACATGTAAAGAACTTAGTGTTCAGAATAATATTTATACATTTGTATTTATTACATATAAATATATGTTGTATGTTTATATTTATAGATACAGTATATAAACGTTTGCTGCTATTACTATTTTTAAATTATATTTAGTAGCGAGGGGGTCTCCCTATGTTGTCCAGGCTGCTCTCGGACTCCTGGGCTCAAGCGATCCTCCTGCCTCTGCCTCTGCTTCCCAAGGTGCTGGGATTACAGGTGTGACACACCATGCCCAGCCTGCTATTATGACTATTACTTGCTTATATATGTTTAAAATATTTCTAGAAGGACACACAAGAAGCTGACAATGTCAGGAAGGGAACAGAGTAGCTGGGGTGCTTATTGTAAAATCTGAATATTGAACTAGGCAAACAAATTAACTGCTCAAAAACTAAAGACAAGGCTGGGCATAGTGGCTCACACTTGTATTCCCAACACTTTGGGAGGCCAAGGTGGGAGGATTGCTTGAGCCCAGGAGTTCAAGACCAACTTGGGCAACATAGCAAGACTCCATGTCTACAAGATATTTCTGAAAAAATTAGCTGGGTGTGGTGGTGTGCACCTGTAATCCCAGCTACTCAGGAGGCTGAGATGGGCGGATCGCTTGAGCCCAGAGGTTCAAGATTGCAGTGAGCTATGATAGCACCACTACACTCCAGCCTGGGTGACAGAGCAAGACCTTGTCTCTAACAACAACAATTAAAAACAAACAAAAAGTAAAGACAAAAGCAACAAGAGAAATAAGTTTCCACTGAAGGCTCTGTGCTTCCCTGTGCCACGTGCTATGCCCCCTGCAAATGCTCACCCTGGGCATGGCCCCCTCCTCCCTCTGCCCGTGCCCCTTGCCCACCTCTGGGATCAGCTGTAATCGCCTCCCTGCTCAGCGAGATCTTGCCGATGATGTCGTCATGCCTGCAGGAAGGCGGGCACGTGAGGGTCCGAGTCAGGGGTCCCTTTGCCCCACCCAGAGAGAAGTGGGGGCAGGTGTCAAGGTCTGGATGGGAGGGCACACCCTCAGGGGTGTGGACCCACATCCCCTCTCCCCTCAGGTGCCCAGGCTTGGGTCTGCAACCCACACATTCCAGTTTCCCCAGCCACACACCCGACGGTGTCCTCGTCCAGCACGTAGAAGGCCAGCTGGTGGAAATCCAGAGGCAGGTGCACAGTGTACTCCTCCCCCCAGAAGGGGCCCAGGCTCCTCCAGACGGTCGCTGTCCTGCGAAAGGAGGTGCAGGGGGCTGGGGGTCCTTGGGCCACACAGGAGGCAGACACCTGGAGACCCAGACACACACACACACACACACACACACACACACACACGGAAATCCAGACAAACACACACACTCAGAGACCCCCACACGAACCCGGCTAGAGGCCCAGACACGCACACACACCCAAGGACAGCCACTCCAAGATCCTAGATATGTACTCACCCAGGGACACTGAAGCATGTATGAATCCAGGCATAGACACACACACACCCCCCAACACTCACATACCCAGAGTATCAGACATACACCAGAGCTCTCAACACACACACACACAGAGGCACACACACAGAACACACACATGGTCCTACACACACACACACACACAAGGCCCCAATACACAACTAAGGTCCCAGATACACAGAGACCAACAGACACGAACAGCGACCCACAGAAACATATGTGCGGATATACACACACGGATTCACACTGAGACAGAGTCACTCACAGATACATCAAGGAGGCCAGAGACAGAGACACATTTACACATAAGCAGATACACATATGCACCCTCAGAAAGTCCTAAAAATATGTGCCTTTGGGTTTGGAAATATAGACGCCAGGCACATGCAGCGAGACACACAGAAAACAGACACGTTCATGAAAATAGACATATGTCAGGAACACAGAGACACACTCGGAGATCCAGAGACACACACTCACACACACAGCTTTATACAATGATATAAAGCAGATACACATAGACACACACACACACAGAGTCATACAAACACACAGTCACTGACACACACACACACACACACAATTCCATTCCTTCATTTGTTCATTCATTTACTCCACATTCACTTGGACTATGGGCCCAGCCTGTGCTGAGTTCCAGGGATCAGAGGAAGAGGTGTGAGGGTTTACCCCACAGATCCCCCTTCCACAGGCAGGCGCTGTCTCCTAGCAATTAGGACATGGTGGGAGAAGTCCTGGGATTGGAGTTAGCTCAAGGGCCCCTGGTTGGGTCTTGGGGGTAGGGTCGGAGGGGATCAGGGAAGGCTTCCTGTAGAAGCTAGTCAGGCAGCGTGGGGAGAGACAACGAGGACAAGGACAAGTATTCCAGAAGGCTGGAACAGCATGGGCAAAGGCCCTGTGGCAGCAATGAGTTTGGTGAGCTGAAGAATAGGAAGGTGTCTGGTGGGAATGGGGGAGGGAGAGGGGCCAGGAGACAGGAGGTGAGCAAGGGACGGAGCACTCAGGGCTTTGAAGTACACAGTGAGCAGGAGGGAGGCACAGGAGGAATGGGGACCAAGACAAGCCCAGAAGCAGGTGCACACATACAGCATCTCTGCTGTGGCGCCCCTGCAGGGGTGCTTCCCTTTACCCAGCAGAGAACAAAGATTCCGCTTTGCCCAGTAAAGACACACCCACATTTGTGGATGCAAAGTTTGGTCCTCACACTTGTTGCTCCCTTCCTCCCTCCTTTCACCACACTGTGCCCTAAGAAAGAGTGCACATATGTGCATGCGCGCATGCACACACACACACACACACTGCCTTCTTCCTCCGGCCCAGTGGCACCAACCTCAGATGGACCCCCAGTGCTTCCTCCCAAATACCCTCTTCCCCCAACCTGACCTTTTCCCAGTCAAATGTCTTCTGAACATTCCCCGGCTCCTGAGCTGAAAGGCTTCTTACAGCCCAGAGAGGGAGAGACAGCAGCCTGGGGTCACACAGAAAATCAATCTGTGGGGTTGGGGTGGTGTCAGGGACTGTATCAAGGCGCCAGCATGAGCACAGGGAGGACAGTGGAGGGAAGTCAGTGGAGGGAGGAGCTGCAGCTGGCCCCTCCCCCAGGCAGGCTCCCCACCCCCAGCTCTGAGCCCATCTGGACCCGAATAGGAGCATCCTGAATCCTGCCGTCTCCATAGGAACCAAGGCCTCAGCCACCCACCAGCCCACCCACCCCCATCAGGCCCCTGAGAGCTGTCCCTTGGCCTGCGGGGGTGGGAGCCAAGCAAGGCCCAACCTGATGTCCCCCTGCAAGACTCACAACACCCCAAACATTCTCACACCCTCACATGTGTCCACACCAGTGCCTGTGTGACCAAATCGGCAGGCACTGGTGTTCACATGCGTGTGCAGGGCAGCCATGTGCACGTGCATGTACACACACACTACACTGGTACACACACTTGAGCCTGTGCCCTGCACAGCCACGAGGACATAGGCACATGGTCACAGGCGCTCACACTAGCCCTGAAACATCCCCCACCCTTGCAACTCACAAGCAGGCCCAGCTGGGCAGGTGCACACACAGACACACATGCACGCACCCATGCACACAGACATCCCCAGTGCCCGCAGCACCCGGCAGGCCCGGAACCAGCCAGTCCAGTCAAGCGTGAGTTGCCCGCCCCCAGGGAGGCCACTGTAGGAGGCATAGGCTGGCAGCGCTGAGTCAGCCCCAGGGAGCCAGCAGGGACAGCATCAGGTCCAGAGGGTGAAGGCAGGGCTGGTTGGGAAGAGGAGCTGGCAGTCCCAGTTGTGCACAAATCACCCCCCTTCAGGCCTGCGAGTCCCCCTCAGGGTAAGCACCCCTTTAAATGTGAATTCTTGGTCCCAGATTCCCAGGTCTAGAAAGACCCCTCCCTTCCTCCTCTCCCCCCAGGCCTGGTGTTGCCACCCCTCACCTGGCCACCACCTCGTCATCCACTTTCACTAGGCAGTAGGGGTCGCTGCTCCCAGACCTGCAGAAGGAGGGGGTTCAGGGAGGAAGCAGGTTGACAGGGCAGCCATGGGTGGAGGGTCCCCGTCATGAGGCAGGCAGGGGAGACGGACGCACAGAGAAGGGGACTTGCCCAGGGTCACACAGCAAGTCCAGCTCAGAAGTAGAACCTCAGGAGACCAGCAGGAGATGTCTCCACCACATCTGTGCGCTCTGGGCTTCCACCCATAGAAATGGAACCGGGAGGCCTGAGGCCAGCAGGTTCAGAGTCCTGGCCTCGAAAGCCCAATGCAGAGGCCAGAGCATGTCAGGGGGAGCGTCTTGAATGCCTGGCTTCACCACCCTCTAGCTGCGCCATCCCAGCAAGTCCCCTTCCCTCTTGGCCTCAGTTTCTCTGCTCTATAAATCAGGTGTGATGCTCACACACACACCTCCTAGGGGGCTGGAGGAACTCAAATGCAGGGCTGGATCATGGTCTGGCCCCCAGCTCTCCCCTGCAGGGGCTTTAACGCTGTGTCCCCAGCTTTTCATTTCACTGGGAGCTTCCCTGGGGAGGGGACTCCCGATTCCTCAGCCCTCCACAGGGACAGACTCAGCGGACCCTCCCTACAGGCAAAGACCAGGGAACCCAGGCCTCAAAATCAACCCTCTAAATCTCTTAAGATGTGCTGCAGCCCCTTAAGTAGCTGTGAGTCATCTGCCAATTCAGGCCAGCTCCATCCCCCCTTCATAATAACAATCACCTGCAAATCCCAAGCTGTGTAACAGGCCCCTCATTTCCTCCTCCATTCCATCACACAGGCTTCCTTTGTCTTTCATCAGGCCCCGGGCCAGCCTCAGGGCCTTTGCACCTGCTGTTCCCTTTGCCTAAGACACTTTAGCCCTGATACTACCATGGCTGGTTCCTTCCTGCCATTCAAGTCTCAGTCCAAAGTCACCTCCTCAAGAGTCTGTCCCTGGCCACCACTGTCCTGTCTAAAATGACCTCTACCTAAAATCATCTTCTTTCTTCTTTTTTTTTTTTTTTTTTTTGAGACAGAGTCTTACCCTGTCACCCAGGCTGGAGTACGGTGGCACGATTTTGGTTCACAGAAATCTCTGCCTCCCAAGTTCAAGCGATTCTCCTGCCTCAGCCTCCTGAGTAGCTGGGATTACAGGTGCACACCACCACGCCTGACTAATTTTTTGCATTTTTAGTCCAGACAGGGTTTCACCATGCTGGCCAGGCTGGACTCCACCTCCTGGCCTCCAGTGATCCACCCGCCTCGGCCTCCCAAAGTGCTGGGATTACAGGAGTGAGCCACCACGCCCAGCCTCCCTTATTTCTCTATGTGTTTAGTATCTGTCTCCCCACCTCCCTGCCACTTCCAAACTGTGAACTCCTGGGGAGAGTCTGTGTCCCCCTCTTCCCCACCCCGGCCCCCACATCTAGCATGCATTGGCCCTCCAGAGCTATTTCTGAATGACTGGGTTTATGGAGTGCTTTCTCTGGAGGCAGGGAGTAATCGTGGAGATAGGACTGGAATCCAGTTTTGTGGGCTCGCACTCGCGTTCTTAAACCAATGCCACCTCTACTCATCCAAATGGCCCTCTCCCTCGATGCCCCAGCACCACTCCCTTGATCTCTGCCACTGTCTTTCCGTCCAGTTTGTATAGATCCACAAATGCCTCAGGAAAGAGGGATGTTGGCGCTAAGAGTTGGCTCCAACCTGAACCTATCTTGCTGGATAAGCCCTTCTCTGTGCCTCAGTTTCCCTCTCTAGACTCCTTCCCTTATCCCTCTCTGGCTGGACGCTCCAATGCCTCCATTTCCCTACCTGGCTTCTATCCCTGAACACTTTAGACAGGTGATGGTCAGTGTCTTAATGAACTTCTGTGGGTCCCACCTCTGAATATCCTTCTGTGGAGTGCCCCAGGCCTCAGTTTCCCCTTCTGGCTCCATCCCAAATCCATTGGACTGGGTAACTCCAGAAGCCTCAGTTTCCCCATCTGGGCTTCACCCTCAGACACCTGTGGCTGGGTAATGCCCTGTGTCTCAGTTTCCCTCCCTGGATTCTCCACCCCTAAGCTTCCTTTATGCAGGCTCCCATTCCTCAGTTTCCCCTACTACAGATGTGGAGTCAGATGGGCTGGGATCCCACTAGCAGAGGGCTGGGAGACACGCCCTGTTCTGCAGAACCAGCCTGACCTCCAGGCCCTCCTGGGAGCCAAGCTCAGCACTAGTCAGCTGCAGGGCTCTGACGCATGAGGGCCTTATCAGACTCCTATCAGGGAGGGCGACAGTGGCAAGAGGGGGTGGCTGCTTCCAGACCCCTGATCTCTGCAGACCTGTGGCCTCTCCCACGGCCCCTGACTCAGCTCGAGCTTGGGAAAGCAGGCCCCTCAGCCATCGCCTGCCCAGTCTGGTTTGGGCATGGAGTAGTCAGAGTTCAAATCGCAGCTGGGTGATCTTAGGCAAGTGACTTTGCCGCTCTGTTCCTCAGTTTCCCCATTTGTAAAATAAGAGACGCCAATAGGACTATATGAAGTGTTAAGCACAGGGCCTGTCCATACTAAGCCCTCAGTGACTGACTGCTACTATTTTTAATAGTAAAAACTCTAAAATTACCTGAAGAGGCCTCCTCCCAGGCCAGAATGGATGGCCCCCAAACCTGGCAATGCTTTAGGCAGTCTGGGCCCTTTCCCTTAGGAGAAGAGGGAATAAACACAGCCCAACTAAGAGCCCCCAGGCATCGAAGCCTACAGGAAGCCTACAGGAATCCTACAGGAAGAGCCCCTTTGAAGAAGGGTGCTGACAGCTAGGGAAACTGAGGCAGGGTGACTGGACCGCCCCCCAGCTAGGGCTAAGTGACTCCTCCCCACCCTTGCTCTAGGGCATGACCTATTTCATAGCTCACTGGCCCAGGAACTGGGGGCAGGAAGGGTGGTCAAGAGCTGCAGGAACCAGGAATGACTCAAGTCCCTTCTCCAGAGAAGCAGCAGGTTACCATGAGCCAGTGTCCAGGTGCAGGGGAGACACCCATCGCCCCCTCATGACCTCTCACCCGGACTGGTGGAGGGGCCAGAGCTCGGTGAGTGAGAACCCTGTTTCTGGAAAGGACTCCTTTCACCGCCTAGCAGCTGCCAGGCTCCCAGTCTGGCCTCAATGCCCTAACAGTGTAGGCTGTCTCATTCCCAGGGGCTCTGAGGAGACATCTCAGAAAGAGGGGGGCTTGTCCAGTCACTGAACTGTCACAGCACACACTCGGCTTCTCATTCAGGGCGTGTTTATTTGGAGTAGCCGATGAGGATGAAGGGTGGCAAAAATTGCTCTCAACAGCAGCCCCCTTAACACAGCTGCAGTGTTTTGGGGGTTGGGAGTGTCATAAAATCAGGCAGGAAAGTCCTCTCAGGGAACCCACAGCTTGGGGAATCAGCACAGAGCTAAGACCGAACCTCGACACAGGCGAAGGCTCCCAATACATGCTCCTGCTCACCTGGGCCACAGGGGAACTCCTAACAGGTCTTCCACCCTCCCAGCTGGATGGGAGACCCCAGGCAACCAGACGGGGACTCCGGTCCAGAGCTCTCATTGCCCAAATGGGAAACCAAGGCCCAGAGACAAGCAGGTTCAAGGTCACACAGCACATGTCCTCCGGAGGATCCCACACCTGTTGCAGGTGCTGAGGCCCTCAGAGCCCCTCCTGGGCTCTAGGCCAAGCAGGAGGGGGACCCCCCCACACACATTCTGCTGATTCAGCAGCTGCTGACTCAGCCCAGGGGGAAGCATATCTCGGGACTTGGTAGTGAAGGGAGTCGTAGGGTCCCCCAGTCCCATCACATCTGGCTGGGGAGGGGCTCCCAGCAGGGAGTTGGCTCTTCAAGCAGTTCAGCCCCGGGGGAAGGCCCACACGAGGCTGGGAGCCACAAGACTGGGGAGCTCAGGGCTTAGGGTAAAAGGGACCCTGGAGGGCCACCTGGTGACACTCTGCAAACCTAAGCACCAGATCCACACAGGATGTTGGGGCTCATCTGATCCCAGGCCCTCCAAGGGTCCTCCCCAGGGTTCCCTTGCTAGGCCCCCACTCAGGCCTGGAGGAGCCGCCTCCAACACATGACTGGACTAAGGAAGAGACCCCCCGGCTTTGTCCCTCCCAGATCTGACAGAATCTGGCCCTCTAATCCCCTCTTCAGCTCTGGAAGACCCCCTTGAGTACATCCCGGGAACAAAGACATCCCCTCCCCTGCCCAGGGGTGGGGCGGGGCATCTGCTAAGTCTAGGTGCCCCCCTGCCACCGGGACAGCCATGGGCATGGGGCCTCTCGCCCCTTTAAAGCGGATCTGCCCCAATCCCAGTCTTAGACAAGAACCCCTCGCCCTCCTGCCAACCCGCTCTGGCACGCGGAAAGGGCGATCCCAGCCCCACCCCAGGCCTTGCGCGCCCATCACCCCGAAGCGCCCGAGAGGTACTCACACGTCCTTGGCGGGCAGCGCGCGGCCCTCCACCACGCGAACATTCAGCGAGCTGCTCTTGGCCATGGCGCCTAGCCACAAACTTTCCAGGCAGAAGGGCGCTCAGGTTCCGAGGTTGGACCAGGGGACGTCTACATGTCACCTGTTTCAAGCCTGGCGCCCTGCCTCGGGGTCCCGGTGCCGCCTGTCCAAGACCCGGGTAGCTGGACGGGAGACTTCCGAAGGAGGAGAAGGTGTAGGTGCCCGGGGAGGGAGCGCCCGTCCGGACTCTACAGGTAGGAGCCGTGCCGCGAGCAGGAGGAGCGCGCAGGGGGCGCAGCGGGCTCTTGCCTAGGCGTCTGGAGCTCCAGGCAAGCGGGCTGAGCGGGCAGGGGGCGGGAGGGGCGGCCAGGGACCTCCCCCCAATCCCGCCTCCCATGGGGTACCCCGCCTGACCCCGGCCCCCCTCGCGCGCCCTCTGCCGGCACCCCAGTCATGCGCGCCAGAGCGCACGGGCGGCGGAGACCAGGGTGCACTACCAGGTGGGGAGGGGCCCCCGTCCTGATGGGAGTGGCCGCTGGCTCCTGGTGAGTTGGCATTGGGCTCAAAAGACATGGTCTGTGTCCCCGCCTGTCCCTCATTCAACATATTCACACTTCTCCGCCCCCACCCCTCCTTGCCTACCATGCAGACACCAGCCTCCTCTCTCCAACCTCCGCACCCCCGGTACAGGAGCAAGTATTAGCGGTGGGTGGGAGGCGTCGCGAGAGAGGGTCGCATGTTCCCTGGGCGTCCGTTCAGAGTCAAGGGAGGGGCCTCGAACATCCTCTTCCATCTCGTTCTAGTTTCCAGTTAAACACAGAACCCAGACTCTGCTCTAACGTCACGGGCTGGCACTGCGGGGGAGGAAGCCGCGGCCGGATGGGGGAGGGGAAGGCTTGAAGGTAACCACTACAGCGATGATAAAAAGTCATCTACAGTTGTTTGAACACTTCATGGGTGCCAGGCACTGTTTTAAGCGCTTTACTGGGATTAGCTCATTTTTGCCTTCACAGATGTACACTACACACTGCTGCACTATTACCCCATTACCCGCAGCTTATGAATAAAGAAACTGAGGTTCAGAGGGGTTAAATACCTTGGCGGAGGGCTCACAGTCAGTAATTGATTTGCCTTCCTGGGTTCGAATCCTGGCTTTCCATTTAGTAGCTGTCTGGACTTGGGTAAGCCATTCAGCCTCTCTGTGCTTTGGTTTGGTTTTCTCATCTGTTGAGTGAGGATGACATCGCATTTCAGTCACAGGATTTTGAAAGAGTTAAATGAGTTAATGAAGATAAAAGTCTCAGGACAATGACAAGTACCTAATACACGTCCAGAAAGTGTTTGATATTCTGATTGTTGTCTTTTGAGGCGTGGCCCATGTGTCACCTCTCCTGGGAAGGCTTCCAGGATGCTCTTCCACTCCAGGCAGAGATTTTCTTTCCTTTTTCTCTGCTCCAGTGGCTCCAGGTTTGTACATTTCTCTGATTTTAAATGAGATAATATGACAGTCAGGGCCTGTCCCAGGACGGATCTGTTCAGACACTTATTTTTCCCTGTGAGTTCATTGTTGACCTGCCCAAGACCTCTTAGAAAGGCCAGGCACCAGTGGGAGTGCCCCTGCAGATTGAGTGTGGGATACGACGCCCAGACCGGCGGGACCAGGAGTGCCCTGCCCGGCTCTACCAGCAGCCCAATGGTCTGCTTCCCAGTCTCCCTACTTGACTCCCCACCCAGCACCCCAGACGGGCTGATGAGGAACTCAGAGCCCTGGAATTCCTTCCCCAGCTGGTGGCTGCCTGGTGAGTCTCTGACCCACCAGAGATGGGGTCTCAGTTCACCCCGTCTGGGAAATGGATCTAGCGGAACAGGCTCCAAGGCTTAGAAGTATTGCAACATCCTCAGCAGGGCATGAGGGGTCATCCAGGGTTAGAGCCAGAACAATAATAGCCCAAAGGAGTCGTTAAAGACCCCCTCCCGTTGTAATTTTTTTTTTTTTTTTTTCTTTTTTTAGCCCAGCTGGAGGGCAGGGGCTCCATCTTGGCTCACTGCAACCTCCGCCTCCCAGGTTCAAGTCCCTGCTTCAGCCTCCTGAGTAGCTGGGAATACAGGCACCCACCACCATGCCCGGCTAATTTTTATATTGTTAGTAGATTTTTGTAGCTTGTATTTTTATATCACCATGTTGGCCAGGCTGGTCTTGAACTCCTGACCTCAAGCAATCCACCTCCCTCAGCCTCCCGAAGTGCTGGGATTACAGGCGTGAGTCACCGCGCCTGGCCCACTATGATCTTTATCAGTTACCCCAGATCCTCCCCCAAAGAAAAGATACCACCTAAGGTGGTGAGGGGCATGGTACTTATGGTATTTGCTATGTAACTGCAGCTTTAAGACAGGAATC